GTTGCCTACCCCGATCTAAAGTGTGCTTCTCTAACATGAAAGGCCTTGTTTCACACTTTTTTTTTTTTTGTACTGCTGTAAGTTACTTTTTCACACTGGCACAGTGTGTTTGTAGTTTACTCCTGGGGGAACTCTGCACCAAAAAATAAAAAACTCTGCACACAATATTTTAAAATTCTGCATATTTTCTGTCAAAATAATGCAATATAATCAAGCTGGTTTAAATAAAATACCAAAATAATTAAAACTACAATACAATGGATGGAGAATGGTAGTGGGGAGCATTGGAGGAAATCACCAATCCCCCTCTTATAGTAGTGTAGCTAGTATTGACCCTTTACTTCTAGTTATTAGTCAACAGATATATGCAGCCATATGGTCAGTGTTGCATCATAGGCAAATGAAGAGCAAGTGAGGGCTGGGGACTCAAACTCATAATTTATACTGGCTACTGGCCATCTCCTAAAAGGTCAGTAGCAAACAGTTCATGGAGCACATTTTGATAGGAAATTTTTTCATTCCAAAAATGTAGACCAGTTCTAATCACTAAAGCACCATAAGCATTTATAAGGTTATACTGTCCTTTACAATAAGACTCCTTTACACCACTCTGTCAATGTAAAGGAGCCTTAAAATTTTTACACCGTGAATTCCCCAAGGAGTATAAAACAGAAGAACAATGGGAACATTTCACCAAGCAGGCAGGTTGCTACATTCTGCTCTGCCTGAGGGAACAGAGCCTGTCCCACACCTGCCTCTTCAGAAAAACCCCAAAGCCCTTCCCCTCCACACTGAGCATGCCGCAATAGCAAACGAGAGGGACTGTCTCTGTCTGTCTGTCTCTGTCTCTCACGCATGACTGCCCAGCCCTCCTCTCGCCCCTGGTGGTGATTTACGTTTCTACCAGCTGCTCTGGGTGCCCAAACTGACCAGGGAAGGGGCACATGACTGCTCTTGTGGCTTCCCCGTCAGAAGTCATTTTTCTGCAGGGAAGCAAAGAAATCTGTGGGGGCCATGAATTCTGTGCATGCGCAGTGACGCAGATTTCCCCCAGGAGTAGTAGTTGGATAGCAACACTGGTGTAAAAAACAGTGTAGAAAAGGCCCAATTTACAAAAAGGCACTTATTGCAGTTTTAAAATACAACTTTGTTTTTTCATTATATGGATCTAGAGACAGTGAAGGAATGTCAACTAGAAATATGCTTTGTGGTACATTAGATGGTTAGATTACCGCATTTCAGCAAAATACTTAACTTCTGGATGACCAGTTATAAGATTAGAACCAAGGGACAATCAACTCTTTTCACATCCTTTCTTTAAAACTTATTCAACACCTTTATTTCTTATTTTCTTAAAACATTTATCTTAATCTAGTGTGATTCTAGATCATACAAAACTCACTGTTGGATTTTTTTTTTTAAATGAACATTTTATGAAACCGTAAATCTCTTGACAGTCTCTGGTGAAATCTTATCTTCACACCAACTGACAAATGAGTTATATTTCTGCCTCCCCTTTCCTTCCTCTATGGAAGCAATTATGAACAGAGATCCAAGTAACCTGACCACATTAAGAGCAATAACAACACAGCTAAGGAAATCAAACTATTGCTCGTGTAAAACCAAAAATCACTGTCAAAATCCTGCTTTTATAGAGGCTAGTGAACTTAATCATGTGAGGAGATCAGTTGGGCCAAACCAGAGTATAACTGGCACAAGTTCTGCTGCATGGGAGAAGCAGAGAAGCTGCATGGTGATCTGGTGCTGGGTGTCATGAAACCAAGCTCTCTGGTGCTGCTCTTTGCAGGGAGTGTAGATTGGGGGCAGAGCCATTGAGTCTCCAGACAACATGTATTAATTAGTGGCATGAATTTGCTGGCCACAAACCTTGTTGGGTTGGAGGGAGAGTAAATGGTGGCGGCTATAGCAGTGTGTAGGTTACAGGAGGGGCTACAGAGTGGCTGTATGGGGTTCTTGTGTTCTGATGCCACATAGTTCGAAAGGTTGTAATTCTCCATCATTATACTTGGACTTAGGATAGGAGATTTGGATTTCACCTTAAACAAACGTAGATGTATATATTTGTATATGTACATAGAAATTTTAATGCGTTATAAGCATATATTTTGAGTTTTGCATTCTTTTTACGAGAACGAAGGAAATAATTCCATATGTACTGTATCTGAATTTTCAATTCTTTCTAGTATTTTCCTTTTCTTACTCAGAACTTCTAAAGCTCTGTGGTATTTATTAGCCTTCTGGTTTTGGAATGAATAAGTCCCTTTTGAGCCTGCAAACAGTGGATCAAAACTTTCAAATTTGGATGTTCAAATTTTTCTGGCTCCTGAATAAAAATGGCTTAACTCTTAAGTGTTGCTGAGCATGTGCTGCTTCCAAAAGGATCTTACAGTTGAAATTTCAGTCAGGTCTAGGAGAACTTTTGCAAGTATAGCTATAATGGTATACTATACCGGAAAAGCACTCCTAGTGTGGATGCAGATTATACCAGCAAACCTGCACTTTAGCTCTATAGCTCGTTCCAAGACACCCTGCTCCTCTACCCCAGTGAAACAACTAGTATAGGTTTTCCCAGGGTCTGCGCTTTGCTGGCACAGCTATTTTGGTCAGAGATCATACCTTGTCACACAACTACAGCTATGCTGGTCAGCAATCTGTGAAGTAAGTAGTGTAGACCTGGCCTTCAACGTTTAATTGTAGATTTAGAAACTGACCTACATTGCGAAGTACCTGGATTGCTTACATCAGGGGTAGTCAATTATTTTTGATCAAGGTATATATTTCTTGTTCAAGGTATAGTTAAGTTCCAAAGTCCAGAGAAACATTTTTCACACTGCAGAAACAATAAGTAAATACAAAGATTTTGCGGATCCTGGTGGTCCGGATTTGGCCCGCGGCCCGCCTACTGACTACCCTTGGCTTACATGATAATACAGGTACAAGCCTATCAACATAAGGGCCAAAGCAAAAGCTTTCACTCCCTAATGTAATTTAAATTAACAAGTATGCAGCTAGTGCACAAAGGACTTTGGTGTATGTATACTACGTAATGCTCTGTAAGTAATAAGTTGGGGGGACATACTCTTTTCAGGTAGTTCAAGATTCGGGCATGAAGGCATCTGCCTGATTTGGAGGATTACACTTCATTTCCTTCCACTCCAGAAAAACTGTGATTTGTTTAGAACAGTTGTGCACATTACAATGAAATTAAATATATATCACAATTATTATGAGGTGAGGAAAAACGACTTCATTTGTTCTTGGTTACTCAGTCTCCAGTAAATCACACATGTAAGTGGAGGAGCGGGAGCAGAAACAGAAATGAATAAAAAGGGAAGTTTAAGCTGCTTTGAGGACCAGCAATCACCAGCTCCTGTGTTCAGGTGCTTTATAGGGTTTAAGTGAGATATTTAACAATCCTATTGAGACACAGTGAGGCTCATGATGTGCTTTGGAAATACTTTCACCAGTTTTCAGTATTGTAGGAACACTGGCACTGAACTCAAGGGTGCGGTAGCTTGCAGAAAAAAGAAACCTTTTATTGTGATTGCATTTATTTAGATATTAAGTCAAGCACGTTAGTCTAAATGTCTTAACCGTTCAGCAGCTGACAGAAGGGCATTGAGCATGTCCATTGAGCAAGGAGAGTCATGAAGACCCACTTATTTGCAACACATCTGATGACCCTGTGTCTGGAGCATTTGAGCTTTGCGCACAGGTGCCGTACTGTTGGATCTGTCACAAGATAGGCATTGGCTGTTTGAAGCTTGTTCTTGGACCTAGTATGCTATCTGGAGGTGACACTGAGGTTGTTTTTAAAGGAATCGTTCAAACAGAGTGCCTTGAACTAAGACAGTAGACTAGTGGAATAGACACAGCTTTAAACTGGAGTGGTTGTGGTGTGTCTTGCACCATAAGGCTTGTTGCCAGATATCAGAAAGGGTAATGTTGGACTGGCAGCTAGGTCAAGTTGGTTGGTCTCATGGTACCAGTTATTTCGCATAGTTAGAACCCTGCTCAGATAAAAAATTTTGTGTCTGTATCCGTTCCGTGATCCGCAAAAATGGTCTGCAAATATCTGCATCCGTGGATATAAAGTGGATATTGGCGGATTTGCAGGGCTCTACAACCAGCTCCACAGGTCACCGTGTATCACACACAACACCCCCCCCCCCCCCCCCCACTCTCCAGAGAGCTCCTGCCCCGCCATATCTCCATCCTCGCTCCGGGCAAGGAGCTACAATCCTGGGCCCTTGTGTGTAGTGCTGCCCTCCAAGTGGGGAACTCAAACACACCTGCGCAGCCGCCGCAGCTCTAACACACACAGACACAGTCAGGATAGATGGTGGCAATCACTACGCTCCTCACAGTGCTCGCTGTTGCCGCTCACTAGTTAAAGTACAACACCACCTCTTTCAGAAAGGCAATTCATTCACTTATGCAGTAGCAAACAGTTGTGTTCCTTTCTGGGAGTTGTAGTTTACCTCCTCCGTCTGAGCAAGCTGGGGACTACAATTCCCAGAATGCCAGGCGGCCTATTGCCATATATTGCAGCCCACTGCTGTGTGATCGGAGAGCAGAGCTGGAGCCTGAGGGCTGGGTGCCAGCCGCTCTGTTTGGGTGAGTGTGTGCTGTGGTCAGAGCTCCGTCCCTGCCTCCTCTATCTCACATCTGCTCACCTCCTGGGCCCCTCACACCTTCTGCTGTTGGGGCCAGAGCATTTGCCTTGCCCCCATTCTGTCTGTTACAGCGTCACCCTAATTTCTATGGGGAGATCGCTAGAGCCCTGCACAGGCCGTGCTTTGGAGCAATTCAACTCGTCATAATCTGTAGTTCCTGAGAATTTGAAATATTTTCATAGAACACATGTATTTGATGGTTTAAATTGTAATATAGATGTCTATATTAAGCATTCTTTTGTTTTTAATGTTGCCGTGTAAAATTTTATTCTTGTCTATTAATGCCTCTCATTTCTCTTCTAGTTCCTTCGGATATGTGCTGATCTCTTTCGCCTGGTTCCTTTTCTAGTCTTCATTGTTGTTCCATTCATGGAGTTTCTGCTTCCAGTAGCCCTTAAGCTGTTCCCTGGCATGCTTCCTTCAACATTTGAGACAAAATCTAAGAAGGTAACCACAGCATAGATTTGGAATCAGTCAAATATGTAACAAGAACTAAACTATACTTGAAATTTTAACTTGCTCCTTGTTGAAACTTCATAAGCGAAAGCCATGTTTTGTTTCTTGATAGCAGGGTGCTAACGTTTTCCTGGGTTACAAATTGCTAACTGTTTAACAAAACAGTTTTAATAGTTTATTCCTATTTAACCTAGCTGGGATATTGTTAGCATCCTCCTAGCCAGAATCATATTTTAAAAGTTCTAGCATAGTTCTAGTGAAAGTGTGCTCAGTGCCTTAGACATTGGATTCGGTTTTAGGAATTTACAAAACTTTTTATGATGTCAGAAGTTGATAAAATTGTATTCCCAGACAAACATCATTTAAAGATGTAGGTAAGCTTGAGAGTAAATACCAGTAATATAAGGGTGAAAATTCTTATGTTGTTTTTTTAATAACTATCCATTAAAGAGCCAGGAAATCAAAATTAAAATTGAACTTGTAAGAAAATGCAGCCTTCAGCTGTATTGAATTTCATAGTTAAAGGCCACCTGCTCTTCTGCATACCTCCAGGATGCTGAAGGAAAGATGTGAATCAATCCTTTTTTTTTTTTTTTTTTTTTTTTTAAGTTCTCTGGAACTTCCCCAGTTTTCCAAGATTTGTTAAACATCAACTTTAATGGTCCAGAGTGCTCCTTGGCTAGCTCTTTTAAAATACTTGGATGCAAGTTTTATGGACCTGTTTATTTAAAAACACTTTTTAGTAGCTTCTGTTTAACATCCCCCCCCCCCCCTATTAATATTGAAAAGAAAAAAATTTATTTTCAAAAAAAGAATAAAAAAAAAAAAAAAAAACACACATGGAGATATACCTATCTCATAGAACTGGAAGGGACCTTGAAAGGTCATCGAGTCCAGCCCCCTGCCTTCACTAGCAGGACCAAGTACTGATTTTTGCCCCCAATCCCTAAGTGGCCCCCAAGGATTGAACTCACAACCCTGGATTTAGCAGGCCAATGCTCAAACCACTGAGCTAGCCCTCCCCCCTCTATTATCTGGCTTTTTCCCAACTACAGAACAGAAATATTTATTAATCACTTCTGCCTTTTCTGCATCATTATTGGAAAATCTACCACTTTCATTTAGTAATGAACCAATACTGTTGTTAGGGTTCATTTTTTTTTTTTTTTTTGATACACTTAAAAATAAACAAAACCCCCCCCCCCTCCCCCCCCCAGTTGTCCTTAACTCTGTTAGTCATAGATTTATTTGTGGTCTTTTGCTTCCCTTATCTATTTCCTAAATTTTTTAGCTTCTCATTTATATTGATTGATATGAACTTTTCCTTTATTCCATTTGTTTTATTTTTATATCTGTATATTGTACTTTCCCACTTAGCTATGCTGGGTTTTTTAATCATTGTAGCCTTCTTTCTCAGTTGGGAGATTGCAGCCTTTGGGGCTTCTAGTAAAAAGTTCTGAAATTCCAATTATCATTCACATTTTTTTTGTTAAAATTTTCTCCCAGTTGATCTGACTCATAATTTTCAGCTTTGTGAAATTGTTGCTTTGAAAGTGCCAAGTATACATTTTACTGGTTGGTTCTTTACATTTGTTATGTGCAAACAGAATAATCAAGTCAGGAGCACTTTTGCCTAAGCAACTACTAACTTTTAGTTCTGTGATCAATTCCTCTTTATCTGTCAAGATGAGATCTAATATAAAATTCAAATTCCACGGTGTTGGATGCAACCCTGTTTGAGTCATCTATAACTTTTAGAAATTTCAAGAACATTTTAGTATTGGCAGCGTGAGACATCCAGTTTGTTACTCAGATTGAAGAGCCCCTGGATAACATAAATGCTTAAGGAGCTGGTCATCCTGTTCGCTACCGTAATTTGGTGGTCTGTGGCAGACATCAACTAGTACTCCATCTTGTGATTATCTGTTAGACCATCGATCCATAACATTCAAGATAATGTACTTCCTAGTTAGTGACTCAGAAACAGGTAATGCCATTTTTGACAGAGTTCCACTCTTTTCCCCCCCCCCCCCTTTTTGTCTAGTCAGTCCTTCCTAAACAGGTTATAGATGGAAAATAAATGGCAACTGATCAAATGCTGTGGTGTAATGACATCTAACATACTCTGGTATTGGAAAAACCTATGGAGCCTCATCCAGAGAAAGGTTTACAAGTGGGGGGAAGGGAATCTTGGTGGGCATAATTCTGGAAAGGACATCTTAAAGCAAACATGCTCTTGTTTTTTATAGGAGGAGAGATTGAAGAAAGAATTGAGAGTGAAACTTGAAGTGGCAAAATTTCTTCAAGACACTATTGAGGAGATAGCCTTAAAAAATAAAGCAGCCAAAGGAAATGTTACTAAAGATTTTTCTATCTTCTTTCAAAAGGTAAAAATATAACCTTGTACTCTGTTCACATAAAAAGTAAATAGCTTGATATTTTTATCTTACTAAGCAATAGACAGTGGTGAAGAAGAAAACTAAGCTTGTGGCATAATCTGTTGCTACCTATACCATGGTCACCTATCTTTACTCATTATGTTGGGCTTAAGTGAATAGTGTGTGACGTATGCTGAACAAAAGGTGCGCAGAAGTTTTGCTCTTTCAATTACTATTTATTGTGCTGAGATCTCACTCTGGTATTCCAGGTGGCACTTTCACTTTATCCAATGCATTTCCGTTTTAATTCTCAAAAACAACATATCTCCTCTACCTTATCGTTTATTTCCTGTGTTAATGAAGCTGATTCTAATGTTGAATGCGTAGTAGCTTCCATTTTACTATACACAGTGGCTAGCACTGGGACATGGAGTATGAAAAGTGAGAGAAAAATGTAAATTCTGTTCTAGTCAACTGGCTAGAAATTACGTAATTGTAGCCAGATAAACTTTTAAAGTTTGAGGTAGCAGAGAAATCAGTGCAGACTTACTGGCTTTTGCCAGCCTATTTAGTTGTAGTCTAGGCTAGAAAAGGTTTGCCAGTATAGCTATATGCTGGCATAAGTGCTTTTGCTAATATAGCTTACGCTGGTTCCCTGAATGTAATAAGCTATGCTAGCAAAAGCATTTTTTTGCCAGCATAACTGCCTACTTGGGGTCTTGCTGGTGTAGAAATGTTGTAAAAAATGACACCCCTAACTGATATAGTAATTACTGTACAGACAAAAGAACTGGCCTTTAGAGTACACTCTTTTTTAGAGCAAATGGTCTGGTTCTACACTGCCTGAGCCATTGGGTTTACTAATATATGCAGCATTTATTTATTTCTGTTTTGGCAGTGCTCAGAGACCCCCAAGCAGGCATTAGGGCCCCTTTGTGTTTGGCACTCTTCAAACAAATAACACAAAAACAGCCCCTGCCCCAAAGAGTTCACAATCTAGTTAATATGCAACGGATGAATAAACAGACAAATCACAGGCAGGATAGTGGGATAACAACAGTAGAGACAGCTGTGATTACATAACTTAATCATCACACTGGAAAGGAAGGCTGATTCAGTAAATGTGGTAAAGCCTGGGACTTGAGAGATTGGAGTTCAGTTCCCTGCTCTTCTGACCAAGACTTCCTCTGTGACCTTGGATAAGGCATTAAATCTGTCTGCCTCAATTCCCCATGGGTAAAATGATACTTCCTTACTTCACATGGGTGCCGTGAGGATAAATACATTAGAGATTGTGAGACACTCAAATACTACGTTGATGGAGCCATCTGAGTACCTTAACTAATGATGTCAGTAGTCACTCACCTAACCAGTGCCAGGCAGTAGCGACTTAGTCTTTTACACTATAAAACTACTGTATAAGCACTATCCTTGCAACACCCATGAGTTAGGGAAGAATTCCTGCTTTGCATGTCAGGGTGCAGGGGGGATACAAGACTCGGAAAGGTTAAGTGACTTGTTAAGTCCCTGCAAAAGATTGAGTGCAGAGCTGCAATTAGAACTCTGGAGTTACTGGTTTCCATCCCCGAGTTCTATATGCTAGACCACACTGCCTCAGTGATTTAAGGAAACACATGCACTTTTATCTAACAGATCTTATCATTTTCATGTACGTTATTGATTTATAGGAGGATTAATGGGGGGAAGGGCAGCATTATTAAAGTAATTTAATGAGGTGCTAGTAAAAGAGAAACACATAGCAAAGATATTTTAGATCAGTTCTATAAATTTTAAACTTAAAAATACTTTTCTCTTCTGGTTGGTATTCCAATTAAAATTAATAACACAATATCTTGCTCATGTACACACCTCTGTACTAATGGAACACTCAGGTTGTGATGGGAAGCAGAGGTACGGAACTTGCATTTTTAAGGATAAAACATGCTATATATTGTCTGGCACTATTTGGTTTGTTTCTGACACGCCACATCATACTAAAGGGACGTTGTCTGATCAAATTTGCCCTAAAATTTAAAGCTTTACAAAACCTAATGTCAGTAGAAATGTTTCTGTGATTTTAAAAAAAGGGGGTGGGAACTGTCTTGAATTAACATTCCCCTTAATGTTTGCAACCTGCAAGAGACTGCCTAGAAATGGAATATAAACAAAAGTGAAACTGACTTTTTTCCATTATCCCGTCTCAGAGAAATGCAAAAAGTTAAGTATAGGGTTTTTTTTTTTTTAAATTCTTTTGGTTCTAATGGTCTCTGTAGCCTAGGATATTTCATCCACTCCTTTCACCTAGTAATGTTTTGAGCCCTGGCTGAAAATGAAAGACTAAACCTGTAGGTGTGAAAGATGGGGTGGAGGGGAGCTCCCACCAGTGAAGTCTAGGGGCTGCATTCTGAGAAACTTCAGCTCCTCTGTCATGCTAACTTTGGTTGGGGGTATATGTGCATGCAGCAATTTCTTCTGGGATTCTGACCCTAGACCTTGCTTGGGTGCTCCATGGTCCATAGCCTCTGGGTAATAGGTTTATGTTAAATTTGTAGATCCTTTAGCTGCAAGAAGAGAGGAGCTTTGCCTTTTTTCCTTGCCTTTCTCAACCAGAGCCCCCTTGACTGCTGCAAGGGTGAAAGTCTGATACTCTTTTCTTCTGCCAGAGCATTCTGACTCTCATAAGGCGGGGTGTGGGATCAGGAAGGGAAAAAAATGGAGGACAGAGCAAAAGGACTGCTACTTCTTTGAGTAGTATCCCTATGGATGCTCCACTGTAGCTGCAGCAGCGCCTCCTGCACCTAGGATCGGAGCTTTTCAGTAGCAGTGCTTATTGGGCTGCACATGTGCTCCTCCCTTTCTCACTCCATGGGTGACATCTATATATATTCTTTCCGGTCCAACCGCCTTTGGTCTGGGCCAGAATCCAGAGCAGAGCCCTTCTACCTCAACCTTTAGAGACTCTCCTTAACTTACCTTACATTAGTAGTGATTAGTCGTTTTCTGTTAATTCCTCCCCAACCCCCCTCAAATAAAATCTTCTAGTTACTCTGCCCTTCCCATTACCTTATGCTTTCCCTGTTTCCTGCCCTCCCCAATTGGGAGCTCTCCCCCTCGGGACTATGCTGGGATCCCCCAGGTACAAGAAGTGCCTCTCTTGTCAAGAGGCCTTTCCCATGAGTGACAGTCACTCACAGTGCATCCACTGCCTCAGTGAGGTCCACATCGCATAGAAGTGTACCCACTGCACCAGCTTGACCACCTGGGCCCAAAAGGACTATGAACTCAGACTAATTATTCTCCTCATGGAGAATTCACTATGACCAGCTTCGGACCCTCACCCTGATACCTTTCTGGCATGGCTCTCACCCTTGGCTTAGTCATCATCTGACCCCTGCTTGCTGCAGCCATCCAAGTCAGGAAAACATTCTTAACAGGAAGAAACAGACTACTACATCACCTGCTGAGGAACCACCTCAGAGAAGCCATTCCTTGCAAGGACAGTAGCCTCAACATCATCGGGCTGAGACCTAGCTTCCATGACCATCTGGGTACCTCTGGTATTGGAGCTAAAGAGAAGTCCAAGGACCCTAAATGGGCAGCACCACAGGCAGACACCCTGTCTCTCAGGACTGAGCAGCACAGTGCAAGAGTTTCCGAAACGGTACCGAGTGCCTCATCTAAGACAACTTCAGGTGTTTTTGTCCCAGGCAACTGTTTCGGCACTGACCAAATCCTCGGCGCCGGGCAAGATCTTGGCACCGAATAAGCCATCTATACCATCTATTGGCCACTCGAGGGAATGCACTCTGCCCTCGGCACCAATAGCTCCTTCACTTTCCAAACAACCACCAGTGCTGATGATGCTTCTGCCTGCTCCACAGCAGTTCAGATATCCAAGGGACCTGGTCATCTTTGATATGCCTGAGTCTCTGCTTTTCTGTAGAGAGCTCCCTATAGCTCATGTTCTTCCCTGGAGTCACAACACTCCTGCACTTCACCACTGAGAAAGGGTGGTGCAGTTCCCAGCAAGGAAGAAGAGGAAGAGAACGAAGAGTACTCTGTTCTACCCACATATCCAGAACACACACACAGACAATTGGCTGCTCGTCTGTGTTATCTGGAACCCAGAACCGAACCAGGATCCTGGTACGGACGCCCATGGATGCAACCCACATGCCAGTTCTTCCACATAGCCCATGGGTCCCAGTAGGGCCAATGTACAGGGCACAGTTTCCCAAACGGCCTTAGAGCAGAGCCAGAAACATGCACGATTGCCATCCTTATCCATCTCTCAGCCACCTGATGTGGACTCAGTAATGATGGAGGAACAGCAGAAGGAAGCTCCACTTCTCCTCCTCTTCCCCGATGAGGCCATCAGGCCACCACCTCCTATGTCTGCAGACAATTTCAGACACTTTCGAGAACTATTCTTCAGAATCTCAGCATCTCTCTCTCGATCCTGCTGGAGAAGTCAAAGAGCAACAACACAAGCTGCTCGATACCCTACACGCCTCCACATGGACAAAAATAGTCCTCCCTATTAATGAGACCCTCTTGGACACTGCCAAGGTGCTCTGGCAGACCCAAACATCCATCCCCCCAGCCTGCAGGTGAATTGACAAAAAATACTATGTTCCCGCTAAGAACTTAAAATTTCTTTTTTCCCCTCCTACTCCAAACTCCCTGGTCATCAATGCAGTACACCGGAAGGGACACCAATACCACCCCAGGGACTGGAAGCGACTAGACTTGTTTGGTCGCAAAGTATATTATTCTGCGACACTCCAGTTCCATAATGCCAATTACGGCCAAATACAGTCATATGAACTGCAGTAGAACCTCAGAGTTACGGACACGTTGGAAAGGAGGTTGTCCGTAACACTGAAATGTTCGTAACTCTGAACAAAGCACAGTTCAGGCTCCAGATCCAGCAGCTGACACGCCAGGCCAGGCTTCAGTAGCAGCTGAGCTCCCTCCTCAGTTCCAGAAGTTTCCTTGCAGGCAGCTTC